CGAAACGTCGTGCGAATTTTTTAATATATATTTTTATTATTTTTATTGTTTCCCTTCAACGTGACTTACCGAAAGAGCTCTGAGAGTATGAATATTGTTACGAACTGCATTTGTTTACGTGGACAAACCTTACTAATTGGCAGTGTCAGGTGGTGGGCGGGTTTTTCTGACTTAACGACACATTTATTTTTTTAGAGGTGTAACTAAATGATGTCACTTACTGGCGATCGGATGAATTGTTCTGATTCAGGATCGCAATTCAGATAATGAAACCAAATAGTTATGCAACACAAGCGAATGTAGCGCGATCCTTGAATTCACCTGTGAAGCTTTACGTGTACAACTGAAAAAACGCGATCTACGTTATTCGATGCATGTATGGTGAGCTCTAAGGACTGAACTAAATGCATTATTCCAGGCCATCCTGATGTCCTCCAAACGAGTTCTTAGCTGGTGAAACTAAGGACTCATGTTACGAATAACATCGACTATTAACGCTGTCTTGTAATAGGAAGTTTCAGGCAATAGACTTCTCACAGAAGCCAAACTACGTTTGACTTAACGAGTGCCACATGCTAGGATGTCAACGGTAGTTGTGCTTGGCCCCTGTCACAGAAAACGCTGGAATGTCAACAACTATGCTTAGGGCTCGCCAACAGATGAGCAGAGGCCAAACGCTCGTTTGGCAGCACACACATTGACGGACTGCATATTCTAAATTCCCTGGAAGATGGTCATCGCCCTAAATACCATCCCACATGTTATTCTTGCCTCTCAAGAGGATAGACAACCCTGTTATGACTTGCTTTCTAGGGCTGTTCTCAGCACAGTGTTTGGTTCAGCTGCTGTTGGGGGACTTAAGATGGACAAATGCATTGCTCTGTGTTAAGACATTTGGCAGAAAATGTTAAACATGAATTTTTTTCATGTCTGTTAAACTATTTCAATTGCCAGGTAAGGCCCACTGAGCTATTAGCCATTTTCCAGAAGAGATCTGGCCACACATGATAGTTCGTCTAAGTGACTTATATCATCATCATCATCATCAAATGCACGTTTCCGAATATGGAGGGAAAAACCGGAGGACCCGGAGAAAAAATCCGTGTGACCAAACTCCAAATATACAAAAGGCATCGTCAGGGTGGGGATCGAACCCACGACCTCCTGCAAACCACGAGGGAGATAACATCTCGCAACCACGTTTTTCAGTGTTGCGCCGTGTGCTGCCCGGCACGATGTCCGTCGTTTCACCCCACGTGCTGGGAGCTCTTCCCTTCGGAAAGTCGACGGAGCAGTTCACCTTCTCGCTCGATGACTATAAGTTGTCAGCCGCTGCTGCTGGTGTTTTGACGTAGGCCACCTCATGTTATTTATAACGTGCCTACTTTCAGCAAATATGCGTCCCCACTTGTGCACGTTTGGTGAAAATTGGCGCGAGATCACAACCGCGCTTACCATTTGTGACTAGCACTCCGTAAATAAAATCCACTAACCAGAGAAGTGCATGAACACACCACCTGGTAGGATCACAAAATTAATGTAAAAAAAAAAGAACTCACGTCTGCAACTTGAACTCAGGGCACCAAAATCCACTAAACTAAGATCCATGAGGCTATGACCTCCTAGCTCACAACGTCGTGTCTTCCTGGTCCAGTCGAGATATCACTCACGCGATGCATTAAATTATCCCGAGAGCCTGAAACGCATTTTCAGACAGGCAGTGTATTTCAAGGTTCTAAATTAAGTCGTTTACTGGGAAATGTTATAACGGCACAAAGAGGGGAAGGCGAAAATGCAAAACTGTCAACACAGCAGATCGCACAATAAACAAGGCAGACACATGACTGAGCAGGTCACCAATTCTGGACGGGTACTCGCAGGCATTTAAGCCAAGAGGTGACAGCTGGCCAAGATGAACGATCTTACTTTAGATGGGATACTGTGACTTTAGTCATTCATGGTAAGTTATTAACTTGATTAGATAAGTGGTATATTGGTGTCCCAGCAGTCATTGTATCCCTGGTCTAATGATCAACGAAGCATTGCTCCATATCTGTTGGCAAACCCTGAGCACTGGTGTAATAATCTACTATTCTCGTGGCAAGGAACAGTATTCCAAAGGATGACAACGCAGCCTTTCTGCACAGTGGAACTCACTTTTTGAAATCAACTCTGGCAGGATGAAAGTGGTGAGCCGATGCTCGACTAGAATTTTTAACGCTCAACCTTCCTGATGAGTTGAGAACTCCAACAGTGTCAAACCAGAGTTGTTCTTATGGCTTTTTTCAGATCTGTAATTTGGGCTCAAGTATACGGACTACTATTACAAATGTTGTCATCACGGTGGGCCAGTAACAAGGCCTCTCGCTGTAGTGCTTTCGGCACCTCGTTTGCAGAGATTGGCGGTTCAAAACCAGCAGCCGCCCCTGATTGTATGTATGGTGGAACTCTTTCCCACCGTATGTACCAACCGTGCTAATCGGAGGTGCGGGGGAAAGGACAAACTAAACACAAAAAGCAATTTTAAAATTATTTTTTTAATTTAGATTTAAAAGGGCAGAGCTCTAGTGGCTTCCTAATATCAGAAGCGCATTCCAGACGGCCGCAGAAGTGCATCTGAAAGCGCACGACGCACGTTACCATCTTTTTTTCAAAGGTTAACCAAAAGCCGCTGCGAGGATGACCGGCGTTTGCGTGATGGTTACGCCTCAACGAAATCAGCAAGAGTATTTGCGGTTATTTGTGGCAAGCACTTTTACTGCGCGTGTATGAACCGTAGTTCTAATAATACCCGCCGTCTATTCACAGTGCATGCCAAAGATCTCACCTATAAGGTTCATTCGCAAGAGTAGGCCATTGCGTGCTGATGTCGGGTCAAAATGTGAAAATTACCTTAAAAATATTTCATTGGGATTATAAATATCATCGATCACCGCCCCCCTACTGAGAGACTACTATTGCCAGAGGTCACTCTTGTAATAAAAGAGTATCTCGGTCTCACGGGTTCTCACCTGGTCTGTTTAACAGCCACCTGACTAAATCCGGCACACGCTTCTGGTCAATAACACACCGTAGATCTGTTTACGATACAAGTATTACGAGTAAGGAATGAACTGTTCATGCTGCTCCAAACTTTCCCATCGTCAACAGCACTAAATCAGAATTGCACATGTAAAAAATATCCGCCCATTTAGCCTCACAAACTGCCGGGGAAAGTGCTTTTAGCGAGCACCTATTAAAGCCAGCATGGCACACAAGGAGGTGGGGGTCAGACTTCGCTTCAGTGACTTGGTCAAGGTCCATAGTACGTACTGTAAACACATACTCACACGTGGTCAGACCGCAACCACATGCCTGGTCGTGTTCGTCTCCCCCAGCGATGGTGCGTACACACTGCAACACGTCGTCATTATCGGTCGAGGTGAACATGGGGAGGTCCAGGTCAAGTTCAGATTGAAAATTGGCAGTCGTGTTGCAAGGCCAACAATCGAACACGTAGTTCGCCAGGATCATAACGCAGTGCACAGATCACCAAACCGCCACTCACAAAATTAAAATAAACTTACTTTACCAGGTAAGGCCCATTCGTCTGTATAGCAATTCTTTCAGAAGCGACGTGGCCACACTTGATAACTCCACGCAGTGGCTTATTATCACGTGGACACGTATTGCAGCCGAATACTCTTAAACGCGTGTGGATTCTAAATATGAAAACACCGGAGAACCCGGAGAAAAATCCACGCAACCACAAACATACATGCAAACTCCAAATTCACAACAGACGTCAGGGTCGTGATGAAACCCACGACCATCTTGCACACCAAGCGAGGTATGTAAACATCTCGCCGCTCCCAATCTCCCCCACCATCAATCGCCACCTCGTGGCGGTAACGGCAACTTCGCACCTGTGCCATGCAATATGCAGTCCGAGGCCGCGCGGAGTAACACAATCGATGAGAAATTCACCCGGGATGCACCTCATGCCGACAGACCTCAAAGACCTCAGAAGCTAAACAGATCTAAGCCTGGACATACTGGGCATGGGTGACCACACGCATAATTAAATTATGCTTGTGGGCATTAGAGGGCAGTGTATCCTACGTTTCTTGACTCCTCCCCCCCCCCCCCCCCCCCCCCCCCCCCCCCCCACATTCACCAATGCAGTGTGAAGTATGGTCAAATACACGTATGGCTCACACGGCGTGGAGAGGCTTCCATCCGGCAGTGAAATGACAAATTGAAATGACAATGGACAAATGGACTGTAGATGTATAGCCATAAAAGCTCAGTATCAGGAGGTCATGGGCCAGACCCAGGTGTTAAGGTTTAACAGACCTGGGTGAGAGGCTTCCATCCGGCAGTGAAATGACAAATGGACTGTAGATGTATAGCCATAAAAGCTCAGTATCAGGAGGTCTCTGGGTCCCAGACCAAGGCTTGTCTAAGGTTTTAACCAGACCTGGTGTACTTTATATTTCTACCAGTAAGGCCCCACTGAGCTGTGACAGCTTTTTTTTTCATCAAGCGACCTGGGGGGCTCATCAACTAATTTTATAGCTCAACGAAAGTGGCTCAAGTCACTTTCGGTGTGAAAATGTATAGCTAGCCAAACACTCCTTATCGCATGTTTCTAATGTGGAGGGGAAAATCGGTTAGGACCTCGGACGAAAAACTCCACGCGTTACCAACTGCAGAGAGACACGCCAAACTTCCAAATATTACTAGCATCAGGCGTTCGGGCTCTGGTGAACGAACCCACGACGTCCTGTATTATCCAGGCCAGGCAAGGTAGTTAACATCTCACCACCGTGGCGACTTGCCTATGCACCACATGTGCTCTGCACTGTTTTTGCAAGGTGAGTCCTGTGAAGCCCATGTGGGGTCAGGTAGTGTTACAGACACCATGGGTTTTGTTTGCTGCAGTGAAGGTGTGGGGAATTTAATCAGAACACCTTGACTTTAGATACCTGGTGAAGGTCCAAAGTACTGTAAACACATCCTTACAAATGCAGACATTTATTGTTTAGCCATACAGACTGTTAGGGCAATTGCTGCTATCTTCATGGCACATACAGGAGCGGCATATCCGATGGTACAAAGGGGAGTACTGTACGCGGAACCAGAGGTTACTGGCTGAGTCAACCTAAGAAAGGCCCAGGACATGCCACGTGCCACTGATTTGTGCAGGGCCAGGAATGAAATCTAAGCCACTGCGATTGTCGCAGTGTGCCAACCATTAACCAACCACCAAAAGACTAAACTCTACCGATACCCACAAAAAGAACTCCCCCCCCCCCTCCCCTCCCCTGTAGCCTACTCAAGGTGTTGGGGCAAGTTCCGTTAGCGAGCACCTATGAAAGATAGCACAGTGCACGAGGTGGTGTGGCCGGGACCATACCTAGTCACCTTTTCTTCCGAGTCTTGATGTTTACACACCACATTAGGTACTAAGGCCTAGTCGGCCTAGTCGGCCTAGAGGAAACCCATGACCGGTTCTGATCATCACCACTGATATAACCTGCGGCCCACATATCAAACTCAGGTTTCCTGGTTCGTGGTGCGGTGTGCTCACCACAATACCGCCCGCTCCTCACACCCAATAGCGTCGTCGCAATAGTAAACCTGAGCATGTTCAATTGCCTCACACACGTGTACACAGCAGCACCAAAGACAAGACAATCACAACATCAATTTACAATTGGCTCACATTTCAATCCACCGCCCGACTTCAGGTCCATTGATTTTAATGATCACCGCATTGGGATTTACACGTGCGTTGCATTTTCAGCATATCTTCCTCCGTGAACTTGATACACTGCCCTCATACAATTCCCTCGGGGTGTTCCTTGAAACCCAGTGTGCTTCATGGAGGAAAGCAAAAACTTACCACAGGGAAATGCGGGATGTTTTTTTTGTTGCAAAAAAATATAAATGTTTACATGCCTGCTTGGCTGCTGGGACTAATGAGGTTAAACGTTTCAAAATGGGCCTTCACATTTTGAAAGCCACACATAAAATAAGTTGCACACGTCCATTTAACCAATTCCATTCGTGGATTTTCCCCCCGCCTCTGCAGGTTAGGTGGCCCAAGTATATTTTGCAGAATATGGCGAAAGGAATCGATATCACCAATGTACGATGAAATGATGGCTTCATAACTTGAAGTAGATTAACTACATGATGAGACGAGGCCCTTGCCAACATGTGTCATCCAGTAGCCTGCTTGCTACATTGTGTACTTAAATATCTGATATGGGGTTGGGCTGCCGAGTGCATTTGTATGTTTGCTTGGACAACATTATCCCCATATTCTTGGTTCTTTCGGTAAAGTCACCACGTAGAAGGGAAACAATAAAATAAAAATATCTTTTTATTGTTTCCCTTCTACGTGGTGACTTTACCGAAAGAACCAAGAATATGAATCCCTGCAGTCACGAAAGCTTTAAATCAAAACATTATCCCCCTTTCGAGTAAAACTACAGCCTTAATGCGCTCACCCGGTTAAAACGCTCAATGATTGAGAGTTATCTAAGCATTCACTATCATAGCTGCCAAAGTTAGGTTTGCCAGATAGTCTGCTCACATAAGTGCCTTCTGGATAAAAGTGGATTCTTTTTGAGCTACACTGAGGGGTCCATGTAAAAACAAAACTGCCCTCGCACTCCTACTTGGCATATGCTTGATGTGGTGGTTAATGATATTACCATGCGTGACGTAATACGCGGCATATGCATTTGAATCACTCACGACCCTGCAGTTCCTTACACTTCGGCACTGTGCTAAAAATAATTTTCACAAACCTGCATGCAGGCTGAGAAGCGAATCCCTTGGGCATTCCACACAGTGCTCAACTCCAATATGAAATTCAATCCTTAAAGTACAATTAAATTTCAAATGTGAAGGCTCATTTTCATGGACTGCTGTCTCCTCTGTCTTACATAATAGTTCACTTTAGTCCCTTTGATGTGACTTTCCAAAAATAGTCAGGCATGTGTTCCATGGGGGCGAGGTGGTGCGTGCGGGTGGGCGAGCGAGCGAGTGAGCGAGCGAATGCCGGTTGTTACTTGGCGACCGGCTGTATTGAGAGTAAACTTCCAAACTTGAAATGCTGGATGACCGGGAACTTTTCCAGACACTGTGGACAGGAGGGGGAATAGGCAAGAGGATTGTGGCCGCAGAAAAACACAACGGATTAGAAGCATCAAAATAAAGGCTGTCTACCCGCTGTGCTCTTATTACACAGTGCCACCAAGCCCAATATTCATACTAAATACGGGTGCAAAACAGTAAACAACTAGGCGTGTAACCCTAGCAGTTAAATGCGAGTTTAAATAATCGATTAGGAGGCAAGCGTACTTTCTGGAATGAAAATGTTGTGGGTTTACTTTCCAACACAATGGTGTGCTGAAGTAGTAACTAATTGGCACGTTTTGTTTACGTGACAAACCTTAGGAATTTCGCTGTGTCGCTTGGTGGCCTGATTTAACGACATTTGTATTCATCCAATGTAACCCAATTTACATTATCTTGGTGAAATCAGCAGTTATGATGGCACAAAATTAGAGAGAAGATGTATTTGACGGTGCCTGGTTTCTTGGAAAACACTGGTCAGCACGATCAGTGGTGGCATTTCCCACTGCCGATTCGGAGCTGCCTACCGTGATGAATGAGTGATGTCACATTGCTTCGCTCAGCAGGAGACACAGAGTTGAATTTAAACCGTTTAAATGTGCACTCAATGTGGATCACATTTTGTGAATAACACCACTGGACGAGGGCCTCCCCCATACCCTTCCGGGTCGTCGGGGTTATTTGACCATACTTCCCAATGCTGGTTGTTGTAGGTTAGTGAACGTGGGGAGCACAGCCGGGAGGAACAGTACAGCCGTATACAGGTAGTCCTCTACTTACGATGGAGATGCGTTACGACGACCCCATCGTAAGTCAAAAATATCGCAAGTCGAAGATGGCCTAGCCTACCCAGGAGTCTTAAAAGAATGGTGATAATTTAGCAAAAAAGAGCAATTTACAGTACCGTACTGTATAAACTATATACTGTATGTATTTATTAATTACAATACTGTATTGCACAGTAAAATGTAAAGTAAAAAAAAACAAGGTAAATTCTTAGCCTACCTATATGAACTGCAATTTAATAGAAAGTTTTTTCAGGAAACAAAAAAAAACAGAAAAAAATACACGCGCTAACACCGAGACAACTTAACTCCGTCGACCGCTGGGTGAGAGTGAGGCATCACCACACAAGGCGGGAGATGCGTACATCCCGGCAGCGTCCCAACGTACAGTATCGTACCTCGTACGCCGCTGCGATTGCCTGCCGCGCGAAATTTTAAATATTTTACAATTTTGTCGTATCGTATCGCTATCGCCATCGTAAGATCGAAATATCGTAAGTCGGACCATCGTAACTCGGGGACTATCTGTATTGTGTAGCATTGGCATCGTATGGCCCACCACCGCAATGTAATGATGTTATTTATCAAAGAAAACCTGAACCTTAATGCACCAACTTGGTGCTCCGCCACCTCTTGATCATCTGCAAAGTCTCTCAGATCTCTATGATCCACAAAACGCTTGCCTCCAAAACGGTGGATTACAGCCGCGTGCCACCTAATTACATTCAAAAACTCCACCGAGTGTTTCAATCGGCACAATTATGTTGGCCAGAGCTGGCGGACATAACAGCTGCAGTGCAGCTACCACGCATTATTCTTTGCTCTCAAGTCCCCGTGTGTCTGTGCAACATGAATACAGGGTTTTGGCACGGTGCGGACAATATCCAAAAGACGAACAGCTCTTATCTTGTATCTCCTAGATCTGTACTCGGGCTGCGTAATCCCAGGCTTTTCAACACGAGTCCCCATTGACGCCATTCATCAACCTTCAAACTCGTTTACACGAGCACTTTAGGAGGTGCGAGCGTCAGATGGCCATTGCACCCTCGAGCCATCAATTTGATGACAAATTTGGATATCGAATAACGATTTGCTACTCAAACTACATCCCTAAAAAGTAGGAGTGAAAAATTCACGGTCATGGGCTGTGTCGTAGCAACCGAATGGCATCCTTAATTCATTCAGAAATTTACAACGCGCGTAAATTAAACTTTAAAAAGGACATTTGTGTGCACATCGCTGCATTGTATGCATGTTTAACTTTTTTCGCAACGTACGTAGCCAACCATGCTAATCAGAGGTGCACCGACGGTGTACTAAACGTGTATGGGAGTTACATCTGGCACTTGATTTCAGAACGCTGTTCCAGAAATTATTTGAGCATGCCACATCCATGTTGCCTTACTTTGTGCTCTTTGTACCCTATATTCTTATAAACCTGCTTGTAGGATTATAGGCCAATAGGGTATAATAGCCTAGAATAACGATGGATCGGTATACCTTGGTGCCTTACCCCAAGCCAGCCTAGCAGCGTTGCAGAAAATATCGCGTGAGATCTGATACCCTGGTTACACATCACCATGATGTCAACAGGGCGGAAGAACAACGCGTTGGACTTCGGTGACTTTTCAGACGTTGCCGTTCATTAACGGAGTTTCAAACTCACGTGGGAGACCATGTGACATGCTATGCGTAGCCCAGCTACACGTGCGCGCGAGAGATTGGAGCTCTCTCAAGGGATAGGAGCCGACTGCTTTCCGGGTTATCTCTTTTTTTTTGTGTTGCAGCAGCAACGGGATGCAGTCGCTCACCTCAGCACGGTACATGCGCACGAGACCCGTGTTGACTTTACTCCAGGAGACCACGGCGCTCACGTTCCACAGCTGATTTGAGTGCTCGGCGAACGGGCCCGTTTTCATCTGAATGGCACACGCATATGCGCACAGGCACACGCACGAGCATATCCACACGCACACGCGGTGGCGAAATGTTAAGCGAGATGTTACCTGGCTCGCCTGGTATGCAAGAGGATGTGGGTTCGATCCTGACCCTGACGCCTGTATATTTGGAGTTTGTCTGTTCTCCCTGTGGTCACGTGGATTTTTATCCGGGTCCTCCGGTTTTTCCCTCAACGTTTAGAAACATGCGTTTAGAGTATTTGGCTACTATCCATTTCCACATGATAAGCCACTTCGTTGAGCTATCATTTGTGGCCAGGTCGCTTGTGAAAAAGAGCTATGTCGCTCAGTTGGCCTTACCTGGTAAAATAAAAATAGTTAATAGTTTAGTTTATATCCCTCCTTGCACGTCTTCTTTAGTGTGATGGGGGGGGGGGGAGTCGATAATTATCAACACTTAATACATGCGTGTTGGTGGGTGGAGCCAGCAGATCCAGCTTCAGGAGTAGCCCGGTGCATATATGAATTAATGTTGTTGCTGGCGAATAATTCAAGTAGTTAGTGGTATTACTATGTGGTCCATGGTTTGAGATTGGTGACCGCAATGGCGCTGTGGGGTATACGGATGGCACTGTGGCGAAATTATTCGATTTACTATCAGGTCACCAGTCTGGGGTAAACTTTGCCCATCATCATCATCATCATCCCTCTGTAGTTGATGCAATCAGTGACACTGAGAAATCAAAGGCGGTCATACTATGGAGAGATTGACCCCTTGCCTCCACAGCACTGGATTACAGGTGTGCACCACCATCGCCACCACAACCACCGCCACGCCCGGCTTGATAACACGACTCTTGAGGACACTGCACGGTAGAGCCGATGCCATGTGCACGCCAGTTACCTGGTTAATGAAGTGAATGCACTGGAAGAAGAGGTAGTCCTTGTGATGCTCGTTCACCACCGCTGGGTCCACAAAGTGCTTGGGCTCGAGGCGGGGGTGGTCTGCGGATAGCAGGGCCATGGGCTTCAACTCAGCGGCACAGCGCATTGCAGGCCAGTGTAAGCAACACAGAAGACTTAATCGCAATACACTTCCATGCCTACTGGTATTATAGTTACACCCCACCAACAGAGGGTACTACTAAAGGAAAAATACATTGGCAACGATGCAGGCGCTTGCATCTGTATTTTTGCATGCGTGTGTGTTCCTGTGAGTGCGAGGTGTTCTTTGTGTTTCGTGTGTGCTCTTGGTGGGGAAGTTTTCTCACTCGTGAGCACGGAACTTATTGCACGGAACTCATTGTATTTTTTCATAATTATCACAAATTTAATTTATAAAATGCTTTAATACATTTATCATGTGCACAGTGTTGATGATTACAGCTGATAACCAAATGAAGCCCTCATATATCACTTATAGGTTAAAAAAAAAGCGCTGTTGGTACGCTTCTACTTTGGAACCATGTTATAATGACCTCCTATAGCGCTAGCGCTGTTTTGTGTATATAGCGCTCCGTTTACCAGGAACGCATCCTGAGCACTATAAGAGGTATGCCTGGACCTGGATGTGATGTGTAAACATGAGCGATGGGGAGACAAAGGTGGCCTGATATAGTGCTGGCCACATCATCCCCTGGTGCGCCATGCCCGCTTTAATAGGTGATCTCTAACAACACTTTCCCTAAAAGTTGGTGTGCGTGTGAGCTTGGAAGTATTGCTGCGCATGCTTACATGAGTGTGCATGCGCATGTGCCACCTCCAGCGAGCGAGCCTTCGCCACCTCAAGAGGCCTCAAAGTGCACCACAAGCACCTTGGTGCAGTCATCACTGCTTAATGGCGACTGCTGCTGTTGTTGCTCTCGCATGCGTACGCATGTCCATATGTGCATGTGTGTTTCTCCGCGTGTGTGTGTTCATGTGTTCCTGTGGGGAGCGGTAGCGTAGTGCTTGGCATGCTGCGCAACGAATCCGGGCGACCCGAGGTCGATTCCCGCTCGTGGCCAATGAACAGTGGCAAACAATTGAACTGATTGCGGGCCTTCTTTAGGTGAACTCGGCCTCAAATGAGTAGCTGGCATGGTGTCAAAATATCAGCACCGGGGAGACAAACGGTGGCCGTGCGTGGTATTAAGACACCAACCACTTCGTGTGCCGTGCCGGGCCTTCATACGTGCTCGCCAACAGCACTTGCCCCAAAAGTTTAAGGCCATGTAGGGGATCTGTCTTAATCTCAACAATTGCTTTTATTTTACCAGGTAAGGTCCACTTTTATCTATAGAACTCTTTTTTTAAGAACCGACATGGCCACAAAAGATAGCTCAACGAAGTGGCTTATCGCATTTATACTCTAAACAAATATTTATAAAAGTGGAGGGAAAAGTGGATGGACCCAGACAGCGTCAGGGTCAGGATCGAACCCATGACCTCCTGTATACCTGTCAAGGTAGATAACATCTCGCCACCATGGGGTTACCGAGTGTGAGTTGCGGCGTGCGTGCGGTCAGCACCTATAAGCTGAGCGCTGCCCCACAGGAAGGGCAGGAACTGGAAGTCGTCGAGGCCCCACACGCCCTGGCTGCCGGCCGGCTCCATGCGGTACGTTTGTTGTAGCCGCCTCATCACGCAAAGGTACCTACACAGCAGGGGTTTACATCAATGTACGCATCACCAATGCATTGCCATTACCACCACCATCACCAATAACCACGAACGGCCTGATCAAAGTGGCTCGATTCTCAAACACGCATGAGGTGGTTACGAGGTGGTACCATAGAAATGGCATTACAATGATCACGATCTTCATTTATATCCCGCCATTAGGGGTTGAGATTGGTGATTCGAATTCAGTTCCTGGCTAATGTTAGTAGCGAATGATATCTTAACCGGTCCTGTCCCCCCCCCCCCCCACTTCACCAATCCATACAGACTGGCGTGGTGAAGCCGAGTTTAATTACCCCCGAAGACCAACATGGCTTTGGGTGGGCCTTCATTCAGCAGTGGTTTGACAGAGGGTAAACAATCAACTCATCATATTACCACCATTGTTATTATCATAAAATAATCAGCATAACCACCAACATAGTGAACACGACCATGATTAATATCATAAACACTGTTCTACATCATTACCACCTCCACTATTGCAATTATCATCATGAAAAGGATCACTGACAATATAACTCGTTGTCATAATATAATGATCATCAGTGCCACAATGACTCTAATATAATCATCACCACAACCATAATTACCACCATTATAACATAATTAGCTCCATGCCATACACACATAATAATAATAAGAAAAGCTGTCACTATAAACACATTTTTGTTTTGACAATTACGTAATTACGAACCATTTCATATCTTGCGAGACATGAATGCCACCATTCACAAAAGAGCCCTGGGAAAGCAGGAGGCCTCAAGCACAGCAGCACGACAACGGAAAGGTGACAAGTAAAATATGAGGCAACAACAACACTCGGCGATGTTACGGACTCCTCGTGCACATACAGTAACGTGGCAATTGTTAGTTTAAGTGGTGCTTCGAGCCTGCAAGTCACGCAAGTCATAAGCACTCTTTTGTTCCGTGTATATCAGCGACCTCATTAAACTTAAGAGGGAGGGGTTTTTTTTTCCATTAAAGCGATGCCTCTCATGGTAAATATTTAATGCAGAGCTGCTGTGCTGGGTAGCCGTGTTTGCCCAGGTGCAGAGCTCCCCGGCAATATTAAAACGTAATCTGAGCGGCGGGCGCGCGAGAGTGAGTGCAGGGGGTCAGTCATCCATTTAGTCCCTTTTAAAACTTGCAAGTCGGCAGAGGTCAGGCTTAGGCAGTCAAGTACATGAAAGGCAAAGGGCTTTGCATATGCTTATAGATTAATGGGGCAAAGTCACGTTATCAAGGGCCCATTAGGGCTGCCGTTGTACGCAAGTGGGTAGTTTGGTCAGCATTGTGCCCCACCACCTTTGTCTCCCCAATGCTGATGTTTACAGACTGCATCATATACTTTATTTAAAGCGAAGTTGACCTTGTAAAAGGTCAATATAAGCTTCGAGTACCACTTGACAATGTTGCTACACATTGTCAAGAACTATACCCAGGTCGCCGTTATAACGCTGGAAACTTTCCTTACACACATTTATATGCATCTGTGAATAAAAGCTTCATAGCTCATCGGATTCCTCCAGTCTACAAAAAGATTCTGATTCTGACAGACCCACAACAACAAAAACCGCTAATCGCCACCAAGTGGCGGTGACATCACCACGGAGCTTGTGCCAGGCTATGTGCACTTTGAGGCCACGTGAAGTGTCGAAGGTTCACTGGTAGGTCACAAGACAGACCCAGGTGGCATGGGTTGACTGAGATGACTGGTAAATGCACCACCGGTGCCCCCCCCCCCGTGCCAACTTGCTGCATTTTAGCTGCCATCTGCTCTCTGTTGTTGCTGGAGGGCGACTGCCGACAACTGCCCAGTAGCATCCTTCACAAGCATTTTCCACAGAGCCCGATCTTGACACCACTGGTACCAGTCATCAGAAAGGCCACTTAGCTCCATATCCTCCTGTACCACACCAGCCCATCTCTTCTCTAGCTCATGCCACACACGTTTAGCCGGCCAAAAAAAAAGCTATTTGGGCATGCGGTTTTTGGGCATACAGGCTACATGCCCCAGCCAATGCAGCCTTGCCTTCCGGAGGAGCTAACCAATGAGACTCTGTCCAGATCTTTCAAGGACATGTGAGCTCCTCAGACAATCTAGCTTGATTAAACAGACGCACACACATTCGCACACAAACATGTTTACACATACACTTCAAACTCACTCATGTATTCATCTGTGTACACTTTTAACAATATATTGTATAAGAGTTAAATAATTTCCATGGCCAAAGGAGCATTGGGTAATGCCAGGAGCAGAAATTCCACATTCCTATAGTGGAAAGCAGGCTCTCCAAGTGACAATCACTGCTGACTTTCCACAAAGTGTGAACATGCATTTCACTGTGTGGATCCTCTATCAGGAATTGAACGTATTACCTACTGACAAGAATGGCTCTCATCACAGTGCGTCCTAGTTGACATAAATATGAAACACATTAACCCTCTCCCATTCCAATGAAGTACATGTTCGTACACGTATGTCATCAGAACGGAATCAGAAGAAAAACTAACATAAAAAATCTTAATCGGTACCGAGGCTCCCACAAGGCCATGCGGGAGGGCGTGTGGCACAGTTTGGCGCCCGCTATCGTAGAGTGCGGTCGTGTCGCTACGGTTCTCTGCAGTGAGTAACAATGTCTTGAAAAACAACGGCGCTATGATTCTCTAAATAAAATTAATGCCGAGCCGCTTGCGAGTTCCGAGATTCAGCGGTGAAAGGGACAACTCACCCTGCAACTTACAGACGTCTCGGAATGGCAAAGGGTTAAGCATAACCTAAACTCAGAGCATTTACCATCAAGTCTTAAAATTACACTTCAGTCGGTTCCTGCATTGGGATGTTTTAGCCAGTTGCTTTAGTGGAAGGAAATTGGGAGTACCCAATGAAAACCTGCAAATAAGAATTATTTTTGTTTACATTATCAATGGCGGCCCGAGTATCATTGGTGGATGTTGTGCTTGATTTTCAACGTGCCCTCTTCACCTCTCAAACACCTTGAAAACGATGGCCGCCTGGTCATTAGCGTCGAGGAAGCCAATCTTGCACAGGCAGCACAGGAAGGAGGCGAACGCCACCTCGTGGCCTGCAAACGCACGTGCACATGTTTCACCGTCAGCCACACAGGCTGATTTCACCACGAGTCGGCAATCAAAATGACAAGAGCCACTTTTGTCGAATTCGCTAACAACCCAAATATTTCAAGAGCCGCGACGCATGTGGATACGAGACGGTGGGTGCTTAATAAATAACGTCACGAAGTGGTCCTTAAAAGAGCTGCGTGCGGCTCTGGAGCTGCAGGTTGCCGAACCCCTGGACTATATCCCCTTACAACTTCGCCTCAAACATAATCTCCTTCCCCCACTCAGAGATTTCATGACTCGTCATGGTTCGTGATGACGATTCGAGAATCGATCTTTGTTTGTCTTTTTTATGAACGATCCCGTTTGTAGTGCCTGAATCACGTTGTCTTGTGTCGTCTCTTTCTAGTCCACAAGTCTAAAAGTAAATGAATTCGAATATGCAGCCCTTTTGTCAAGCCACTGTTGAATGAAGGCCTTGCCATTGTGTGTCGGTGATAAAGGGTTATTTAAACAAGCATCCTCACGCTGGTCTGTGTGGGGGCCCAGGACCGGTTCAGATGTCGGCCGCCACTGATGTCAGCCGTGGGCAGAAATCAAATTCAGGGTTCACAGTGGCATGCTCTAACTACTGCACCATAGCTCAACCCCAAAGGGGAAATTCGCTTATGCGTCATGAATTGTGCATAAAATTTTGGCAAATAACTTTTTTCCTGTTCCCTCGATTGAAACGCACCCTAAGAGGAAAGAATATTTCAGAATGTGCCCAAACATCATCCAAATGCAACTCGGAACCTGAAAGCCATCCCGAAAGAGATGCCTCAACAAATATCGGGACCGCTGGAATCACCGTGTTCGATCAGGAGGAGACTACTTTTAAGGAGATACATTCAATTAGATATACCGTCCTTTATTTTCGTCCGTAGACGTACCACTTATTCAAGTACCAGGAGCGAAATGTGCGAGTGAATGCGGGCGGGCACCGGTGCCGTAGTCAATGCGCGTGGCATTGCCCACGCTTTCCAGCAGGTACGTAGTGGCCTCGGGCGCTGCCTCGTGCAGGCGCTCCGGTAGCATTCGGGACACAAGCGCCGGGGCCTCCTGCACCGAAGCACACGGGGGCACGCGCACACACACGGACTTTTGAGCATTATACCATCGCATGTGTGGGATTTCTCCGGGCACTTAATTTTTTTCCCCGATACAATAAAATGACGCATGATTTGCTTTCCTTTCCAATGTATGTTGAACTTTTCACACGGTACGTAGCCAACTGTGCTAATTAGAGGTATGGGGGAATGACAACAAACTTAACACAAACTAAACACTGGCCAATCGCAGTGAGCATCATAGTCATATCGATCGTCTTTTACTTTTAATATATTGTTTGATGTTGTAACATTCTGATCTGCCCCTACTGGACACTTGTGATATAGAGTGTCATAGCTCACTGGACTTCTTCAGGAAGTTAAAATAATCTGATTATGAACCCAAACACGAATCTCCTGGATGAGGTTTCTGGCCGAGTTAAAATACTATTAATATTACGATGATGTTCACTGCGATCGGCCATGGTCTGTGATTGAATATGCGTTTCACTCATGTCATTAAGCACGTGGTATGTTTGTCATATGCACGTTTAATGTGTGTGTGGTATGTGTGCCTGTGGGATGTTTATGTGCAGTGTGTAAATGTGCTACATAGTGTATGTGTGTACATGTGTGGCATGTGTGTGTGTAGTTGGTACATCTATTATGTCGTGTGTAGTGTTGTGCGTGTAGTGTGTTATTTGTACAGTGAGGGAAAAAAGTATTTAATCCCCTGCTGATTTTGTACATTTGCCCACTGACAAAGAAATGATCAGTCTATAATTTTAATGTTAGGTTTATTTGAACAGTGAGAGACAGAATAACAACAACAAAATGCAGAAAAACGCATGTCAAAAATGTTATAAATTGATTTGCATTTTAATGAGGGAAATAAGTATTTGACCCCTCTGCAAAACATGACTTAGTACTTGGTGGCAAAACCCTTGTTGGCAATCACAGAGGTCAGACGTTTCTTGTAGTTGGCCACCAGGTTTGCACACATCTCAGGAGGGATTTTGTCCCACTCCTCTTTGCAGATCTTCTCCAAGTCATTAAGGTTTCGAGGCTGACGTTTGGCAACTCGAACCTTCATCTCCCTCCACAGATTTTCTATGGGATTAAAGTCTGGAGACTGGCTAGGCCACTCCAGGACCTTAATGTACTTCTTCTTGAGCCACTCCTTTGTTGCCTTGGCCGTGTGTTTTGGGTCATTGTCATGCTGGAATTCCCATCCACGACCCATTTTCAATGCCCTGGCTGAGGGAAGGAGGTTCTCACCCAAGATTTGACGGTACATGGCCCCGTCCATCGTCCCTTTGATGCGGTGAAGTTGTCCTGTCCCCTTAGCAGAAAAACACCCCCAAAGCATGTTTCCACCTCCATGTTTGACGGTGGGGATGGTGTTCTTGGGGTCATAGGTAGCATTCCTCCTCCTCCTCCAAACTAGGCGAGTTGAGTTGATGCCAAAGAGCTCCATTTTGGTCTCATCTGACCACAACACTTTCACCCAGTTGTCCTCTGAATCATTCAGATGTTCATTGGCAAACTTCAGACGGGCATGTATATGTGCTTTCTTGTGCAGGGGGACCTTGCGGGCACTGCTGGATTTCAGTCCTTCATGGTGTAGTGTGTTACCAATTGTTTTCTTGGTGACTATGGTCCCAGCTGTCTTGAGATCATTGACAAGATCCTCCCGTATAGTTCTGGGCTGATTCCTCACCGTTCTCATGATCATTGCAACTCCACGAGGTGAGATCTTGCATGGAGCCCCATGCCAAGGGAGATTGACAGTTTTTTTGTGTTTCTTCCATTTGTGAATAATCACACCAATTGTTGTCACATTCTCACCAAGCTCCTTGGCAATGGTCTTGTAGCCAATTCCAGCCTTGTGTAGGTCTACAATCTTGTCCCTGACATCCTTTGAGAGCTCTTTGGTCTTGGCCATGGTGGAGAGTTTGGAATCTGATTGATTGATTGCTTCTGTGGAAAGGTGTATTTTATTCAGGTAACAAGCTGAGATTAGGAGGACTCCCTTTAAGAGTGTGCTCTTAATCTCAGCTCGTTACCTGTATAAAAGACACCTGGGAGCCAGAAATCTTTCTGATTGAGAGGGGGTCAAATACTTATTTCCCTCATTAAAATGCAAATCAATTTATAACATTTTTTACATGCGTTTTTTGGATTTTCTTGTTGTTATTCTGTCTCTCACTGTTCAAATAAACCTACCATTAAAATTATAGA